TCACTTTCGACGAGTCGGTCCCCTACTACCGCCTCTTCCCCTACCGCACTGCCCCGCTCCCCCCCCCCGCCTCTCTTCCTCGCACCAGGTGCTGCTGTGGTAGACCCCCTCCCCCCTCAGGGTGCCGCTCCCTCAGGTGTGTCCCAGGTAGACCCGGTTGAGCCTTTCGAGGTAGCTGTCGACTCTCGTCCTGCTAGGGGTGCGGAGCCTGGGGGTGCGGAGCCTGGGGGTGCGGAGCCTGGGGGTGCTGAGCCTGGGGGTGAGGAGCCTCCGGGTACGGAGTCTGGGGGTGCTGAGTCTGGGGGTGCTGAGCCTGAGAGTGCTACGTCTAAGGGTACTGAGCCAGAGGGTGCTGCGACTGACCGTACTGCACCTGGAGGCGCTCCCTCCTCACAGCAGCTGCGGGAGTGGTACTCGCAGTACTGCAGCCTCAGGAGGGGCGCTTCTGGAGCTAGGGGTGCTGCTGGAGCTGGTGCTCGTGGTTCCCCTCCCAGGCGGGAGCCGCCCTCTCCCCAGCGGCTCCGAGAGTGGTACGCTCGGCGCTGCAGTCTCCGGACTGCCGCTACTGGTGTCGCGGACCCTGGAGCTGGTGCTGGTGCTGCTGGCGCAGGAGCTGCTGGTGGTGCTGCTGGCGCTGCTGGAGGTGCTGCTGGTGCTGGAGCTACTGGAGGCACTGCTGCTGCTGGAGGTGCTGCTGGCGCTGCTGGAGACGCTGCTGGTGCTGGAGGTGCTGCTGGTGCTGGAGCTGCTGGGGGCACTGCTGCTTCTGGAGGTGCTGCTGGTGCTGGTGCTGCTGGAGGTGTTGCTGGTGTTGGAGCTGCTGGAGCTGCTGGAGCTGGTGCTGGTGCTGGTGCTGCTGGCGCAGGAGCTGCTGGTGGTGCTGCTGGCGCTGCTGGAGGTGCTGCTGGTGCTGGAGGTGCTGCTGGTGCTGGTGCTGCTGGTGGTGCTACTGGTGCTGGAGCTGCTGGAGCCGCTGGTCCTGGAGGTGCTCGTACTGGAGGTACTGGAGCTGTTGGGACTGGAGCTGCTGCAGGGGTTGGAGCTGGAGGTGCTGGAGCTGCTGGAGCTGCTGGTGGTGCTGCGGGAGTTGTAGCTGGAGACCCTGGGGCTCGGGGTACTGGTGCAGTCTCTGCTGGTTCAGGAGGTGCTGCGCGGCCACTGCCGTACTACGTTCCGCTCCTTCAGCAGGTTCTTGGCCTCCCGCCCTCTACTGGTCCTACTCCTCCCCTGCTGAGTCCACAGCCTGTCCAGTCGCAGTCACAGTTACAGCCAGCCTCTCCGCTACCTGGTCCTTCTCCTTACACTGCGCCGACGGGTAGTCTTACAGAGCGTCGTGAGCCTGAGTCTCGTCCTCCGTCGCCTGAGTCTCGTCCAGAGTCACCTGAGTCGCGTCCAGAGTCGCCTGTCCGCGCTGTCCGCGCTGGTCGTCGTGCTCCGCGTCAGCGTCCTCCTCCTGTCCTTGGCACTCACTATATGACCCTGCGTCCTTCCACTGCTCCACAGCGTGTCCCTCTGCCGTCTCCTCCTGCGTCCTCTCTTCCTGACGGTCCGGACCCGGAGTCTGATTCCCTTCGTGCTGCCAGCCCTACTGTCACGCGTTTCCTCGCCACTGTTGTCACTGACCCTACCTTTGAGTCCTCTGCTGCGTCTGCTCTTGTCGCTGAGCTTGTTGACTTTGCTGCCGCCTGTCGTCTAGACTACGCCGCTAGCCTTGTTGCTGAGTCTGAGTCTGTCTGTCCTCCGTCCGTCGGGGGTGAGTGTGCTCTTAGCACGGACGTCCTTGAGGACAGACAGGAGGAGTTTGAGTGCTTTGCCGCTGCTTTACCTCATCTCGTGTCCATGCTGATTGCCCCTGAGGAAGACCCGGATGCACCAGACATCCCGACCCCGCCCTCTTACGCAGAGGCGATAGAGGGTCCCTACTCCTCTCAGTGGCAACAGCCATGGACGCAGAGATGGCTTCCTGGAAGTCCACAGGCACCTACGTCGACGAGGTTCCCCCACCTGGGGCGAACATCGTCAGTGGCATGTGGATTTTCAGGGTGAAGCGGCCGCCGGGTTCTCCGCCTGTCTTCAAGGCGCGTTACGTTGCACGAGGCTTCAGTCAGCGAGAGGGAGTTGACTTCTTCCAGACCTTCTCCCCGACCCCGAAGATGACCACTCTTCGGGTTCTGCTGCACGTCGCCGCTCAGCGTGACTACGAGCTCCACTTTCTTGACTTCAGCACTGCTTTCCTACAGGGCAGCCTGCACGAGGAGATCTGGCTGCGCCGCCCACCTGGCTTCACTGGGTCGTTCCCTGCTGGTACCCAGTGGAGCCTCCGGCGGCCAGTCTACGGTCTCCGCCAGGCACCCCGTGAGTGGCACGACACACTGAGGACTACTCTTGCTGCTCTTGGGTTTGCTCCTTCTACTGCTGACCCGTCGCTGTTTCTACGCACCGACACCACTCTGCCGCCGTTCTACGTTCTCGTGTACGTAGACGACCTGGTCTTTGCTACTGCTGACACTGAGGCACTCGCCCACGTGAAGTCGGAGCTGCAGAAGAGACACACGTGCACAGACCTGGGTGAGCTGACAAGCTATCTTGGCTTGCGGATCACCCGGGACAGAGCACAGCGCACCATCACCTTGACTCAGTCACACATGGTGCAGCAGGTCCTTCAGTGCTTCCGCTTCACGTACTCCTCGCCTCAGCCCACTCCTCTGCCTACCGGTCACTCGCTCTCAGCTCTGCCTTCGGATGAGTCTGTAGAGCCGAGTGGCCCGTATCCAGAGCTTGTGGGCTGCCTCATGTACCTGATGACCTGCACTCGACCTGACCTTGCATACCCTCTTAGCATCCTAGCACGCTATGTCGCTCCTGGCCGTCACCGGAAGGAGCACATGGATGCCGCTAAGAGGGTGTTGCGCTACTTGTGCAGTACGTCGGGCATGGGGCTTGTGCTTGGAGGACGGAGCGACGTTGTCCTCACTGGGCACTCAGACGCTTCTTGGGCTGACGACCAGGCTACGCAGCGGTCGTCTCAGGGTTACACCTTCAGCCTTGGCTCTGGTTCAGTTTCTTGGCGTTCTACACGCTCGTCTTCAGTTCTCAGCTCCAGTTGTGAGGCTGAGATCTACGCCACAGCCATGGCTGCCCAGGAGCTACGCTGGCTCACCTACCTGCTGACCGACCTGGGAGAGCGGCCTCGTTCTCCTCCAGTGCTGTACGTCGACAACAAGGCCGCCATTGCCTTGTGTCAGGAGCACAGACTGGAGCACAGAACGAAGCACATCGCTCTGCGCTACTTCCTTGCTCGAGAGCTGCAGCAGCGTGGTCAGCTTCGTCTTGCGTACGTGGCCACTCGGGCCAACACTGCTGATGTGTTCACCAAGGCGCTTCAGCCTTGTGATCATCAGCGTTTCTGTACTGTTCTAGGCCTTGTGCCTACTGTGCCTCACTTGCTTACTTCTTGACTCTGCTTGTACTGTGATCTATATATACATATATATATATATATACCTGCATGCTTACACTTGCTAGGTTGTGATTACTGTACCTCTTGTTATATTATCAAACTGCATGTGAACTGGTCTTGTGACCGCTTGGTTGTGCTCGGAATTTGTGTGGTTTCCTTGAGATCCACCGTGAGCTTGCTTTGCTTTGCTTTGACTGGTCCTGTGACCATCTGGTTGTCTCCCACTTAGCCTATGGGGGTGTGTCAAACATCATACATGTTCCTATTGTGTAGGCTATAGTGGGTTTAGCCTTAGAGGGTACAACATTGCTAGGGTTTCCTACTTGTATCACCCTGCTGCCTAGTCTCATCCATTTCTCGTTCACTTCTAGATTCTAACAGCGGGGGGCGGGTGGGGGGGGGGGGGCTGGGGGGGGGGGGGTGAAGGGGGGGAGTAACGAGATTGGCGAGAATTTCGAGATTGACGAGAGTTTCGAAATTGGCGACATGTATTGGTTCCAGTAATTCGATCTGTTCTTGATATAAACAAATACTCCCTAGCGGTATTGCACATAAAATGAAGTATATGTGAATGTGTTTTCGATACTATTTGCGATAATTTTACGATAATGCTACTGTATCGGTCAGCATTATCTATGCATAACTTTAACTTATAAAGAAATCATAGAAGTTTTTTTCATTATAAAGAAATCATAGAAGTTTTTTTCATTAAAAAACATTACGCATTATGCATATGTTGTTACGACAACTAACTACATATTGTTGTAGCCAACTAGCACTATCTGTAGTAGTGGGTCGACTGGACTTGACACATTTGCGAGCAAAATTAAGCAGCAAATCGTTTTCGATGATACCAAGATTCGAACCTGTGACGTTCCGGTCTACTAACTATTGCAACCACTGGGACATTTCACTGTGTCAAAGGGTTTCAGGACAAATTTTCAATTTTGCCTCACGTGCAGGGACAAATTTAGGATGGGACACTTTCGGGAAGCACTGTACACTGTCCCGATTGTCCTTTTCACGAGCATAGACACATCTGGGACAGTTCGAAGAGATCCGAAAGAGGCTTACGTGATGGCACTTTCGGAGGTATGGTTTTGGGACCTGAACTTTTTGCTGATGTGGTCCCTTGTTTGATATTACACATGATGCCTGTTTGAGCCACTCCCGGTTGCCTTGTGAAGGGGGCGCATAAGCTGTCACGTGCATTTCGCAAACGTTTCGTCAATTCGCAGCTGGCTAAAACGGATTCGCATGTGCTTATATAAAGGATCTGTAACCTTATCCGCTGACATTTTGACTTCAGTCTCTTCAGTTTGACTTCGGTCTGTTCGTTACTATTGGTTCATAGCCACGCGACGCGCTTGTAACGTGGGTGCAACAAGCTGGGGGAAAGACCTCGGGTGCAGCGTTTCCATCCGGTGCAGAGTAAATTCGCGTGCATGGGGTGGGCATCACCTGTAGTATAGCCAAGTTACACGTCAAAAAAAGGGCATGGAGAGCAGGACCTTTGGATTGGCTTTGGAAACTTAGGGTCTTACACAACGCTACACAAGCCACAGGTCTTCTCGAACCCTCCCTTTCCCATGGTCATCCGGTTGCCATTTGCCGCATCTCCCTGTGTCCCTGCCGCCCTGCCACCCTCCTCTTCTCCTCCATTGCACGTCTGCTGGCTGGTGTTTGAATCAAATGCCGGGATCAGAGCTGCTGATAGCGCTGGGAGGAGGGGGAGGAGGGGGAGGACTTCTGGGAGCGGGGGGCTTGGGGGCTGCGCCCAGCTTACGTCCCGCCTGCTTCTTCGGAGCTCCCTTGAAGTCCGCCGCCACATCCGCCACCGCGAGAAGCACCCGCGGGTCCTTCAAGTCAACGGAATCGACGGAGTCAACGGAGTCAAGCGATGCATCGTTGTCGGCCTCCAGGAGCGCGCGCTGGTCGTATGATTCCTTCAGTGCCGGCTCGCTCTCGCCGTAGTACCCATCCGGAGGCAGCGCCGCGAAAACCGCGAGGAAGTTTAGAGACGCCATGAGGACGAGCGCGAGCAGAAAGCGAGGGCGAAGCGCGCCCATGGTAGAGTTCGATATAGAAATCTGCTGATTTGGGAAAGAAGCGCTGAGGGGGCCTGTACTGACTGCTGTTCTAGAAGTAGTGTGTACTGGTGAAAGAGTTGGGGTTCCAAACTTCCAACGCGTTAAATATGCTAAGAGTGGCCGATTGCAGACTTGTTGGCATGTTGCGGCTCGACATCGGATGAGGCGTTTCGGACCCATGACGCCTCTCGTAGCGCCTCGGTCAATTGCTGGGCCTCATAGTACCGTCGATTGCGGCGTTCATCGCATATAATACAGCTCGAAATATATGCATGGGAATCAGCATCTTGGGTTTCTGGCGCAATAATTCCGCAGAAGGAAATCGGAAATCAGCGGGTACGACAAGGTTTTCGTCGGTCCGGAGTGGTGAAAGGTTTTTATGCGGGGATCCAGGCGATCATGATTCACGAGTTGCGCGGCATGTGCGGCCGAGCAATAATTGCACACCTTGGTGCGAAACCCTTCACACGCACCGCACATTGCGATTCACGACTGCAAATAATGCACAACTTCAGTTGCAACAATTTCGGGATATACTGTATAATCAGTAAGCTTTGGCTCCATAACATATTTGGTCAATTTACCAGTATGCACAACATGACACATATTTAGAATGTTCACAGGTATTCAATCGCTAAAAAAAAAAAATCAAAACATTCAACTATTTCTATGCCATTTTCTTACCCTTGAACAAACCCCTTATCTTATGAAGACTTGGTGAGGTAGGATTTTGTAGACACTCGAGGTAACTTTGGAATGTGTACAACCGCTTCTCTGACTCGTTACCAACGTGCTTCTATCGCTTCAATATTCTCCATTCTCTGACGAGTATCGTGCCTGTCGTGTCAAACTTTATGTTTGTTAGCTTGTAGGCTACAGTGAGGTTGACTCTAGAGGGGATAACCCAATTAGGGTTTCCTACTTGTACCACAACTCTTGCTAGTCAATCCATTCCTCTCATTCAGTTCTTGACATGCTATCAGAGTAGGTTACGTTACGTGCTAGGGCCCACCGTTCCGTCCTGTCCGAAGCGCTGATGCGCTTCCCTACTGCTCTGCCCGAAGCGCGCTGTGCAGCCACTGCCGCCAGCGCGCTCTCCTTTTTTTTCGCGCTGTCGCGAACCCCCCCTGCCCGCGCGCTGCTGTGAACTGTCGCGCACCCCCCTGCCCGTGCACCTGCTGCCCAGCGCGCCGCTCGCGCTGCCCGCCTGCAGCCTGCGCCCTGCCCGCGCGCACCCTACGTGCACCTGCTGCCCAGCGCGCCGCTCGCGCTGCCCGCCAGCTCCCTGCGCCCGGCCTACGCCCTGCCTGCGCGCACGCCACACCTGCGCCCGCGAGCGCCCTGCCTGCGCCCTGCCTGAGCGCTGCTTCTAAGCGCGCTTCGCTGCTAAGTGTGCTGCTGCTAAGCACGCTGCTACTTCTACGCGCTGCTGCTAAGCGCACTGCAGCTGCTATGCGCTGCTGCTGCAAACGCTGCTGGTGCTGCGCCCTGCCCTGCCGAGCCGCGCCGCCCTGCCGAGCCGCGCCGCCCTGCCGAGCCGCGCCGCCCAGCCCGAGCCGCGCCGCCCTGCTGAGCCGCGCCGCCCTGCCTAAGCAGCACTACCCTACTGCACCTACTGGTGCGTCTACTGCTGCTACTGCTACTGCTGCGGCTACTGCTGCTACTGCAGCTATGGCTAATTTCTCAGTTCTTACTTTTGACACTGAGGGTCGCGCGATTAGCTTTGATGTTTGGCTCGATGATCTCCAGCTGTACCTGCAGAGCGAGGCTAGGGACGGAATTTCACTGTTCTTGCATACCGAAGGAACCCTCCCAGCCCCAGCTGCCACAGCGGTAGAGGATCATTCGAAGTGGCTCATGCGTGACGCCACTGCCCGCCTTGCTGTCCGCAACCACCTGCCCGTAGCTGAGCGCGCGCACTTTAGCCAGCAGAAAACAGCCAAGGCCCTCTATGACGCTGTACTACTCCTCCCCAGCTACTGCTGCCCTAGGCCGTCTCATGCTGCCGTACCTGCATCCCGAGCTAGCCGATTTCCACACTGTCTCTGACCTCTTTATCCACCTCCGCTCTAGTGAGGCTCACTACCACGCCGCTCTCAAGCCGACCTTTCTTGCTGCGAACCCCCCCCCCCCCCCCCCTCCGCTGTATATCACCCTGTACTTCCTCGTCACTCGCCTCCCTGACTCCCTTCGCACTGTCCGGGACCAGTTCCTAGCCCTTGACCCCACTGAACTCACGCTTGACTCGCTCGAGAAGTCCCTTCTCGAGGCTGAGAAGAGCACTGTCACTGTCGCTGCCTCTCGAGACACTCCCCACTCCCCCTTCTTTGAAGGGTATGCTCCCTCCCCTCTCCTCCCCTCAGTTGCTACCGCTGCTGCTGTCGACCTCCTTGGTGCTACGGAAGTTGGCGTTGCGTCTGCTCCTAGTGGGAGGCGCACCAACAGCAAGGGAAAAGGGGGCAAGGGTGGTGGGGGTGGCACCAGCGGTGGAGGTGGCGGGGGTGGTGGTGGCGGCTGGGGTGGTGGAGGCAGCGGGGGTGGTGGAGGCGGCTGGGGTGGCTCTGGGGGTGGAGGCAGTGGAGACGGACGGGGTGGTGGAGGCGGCGGGGGTGGTGGAGGCGGCTGGGGTGGTGGAGGCAGCGGGGGTGGTGGAGGAGGTCGGGGTGGAGCTGGCAAGGGTGGAGGCCGTGGCGGATCTGCTCGTGGCGGTGGAGGCTCTGGACAGCAGCTGCCGCGCCTCCCGGACAACCCCACCCCTCAGCAGCTTCGTGAGTGGGTTGCCCAGCGTGTTTTCCCTGGGGGCTCTGGTCGATGCCCGTACGTCAGGTGCACAGTGAAGCTGAAGGGTCAGCCCTGCGGGAAGCCGCACACCGAATACCGCTGCTTCGGTCGTCTTGAGGATGCCTGGGTGGATGAGTACGGGGATGAGGCAACTGTCCCCAACTCGCTGAAACTGCAGGGGATGGGAGTAGATGCGTATGCTCTAGACTTTGTTCAGATCAACAAGGCTATCTATGCTATGTATGTGACTGAGCTTAGTGATGAGGGTGCGTGTTACTCGTGTGTACCTGGTGATGCTGGTGTCGATGCTGCTGCTCTAGGTGCTGGTGAGTCTGCTGCAGCTCTAGGTGCTAGTGAGTCTGCAGTCACAGGTACTAGTGAGTCTGCTGCTAGTGAGTCTGCTGCCTCCGCTCAGGCCCTTCACACTTTCACACTTGACTCAGGCGCGTCTCGTTGTTTCTTTCGTGACTGCACCACACTCACACCACTAGCTGCACCGGTACCGGTCTCACTGGCTGACCCCACTGGGGGCCCAGTAGTCGCACGAGCCTCCACTGTCCTTCCGTGCTCAGCAGTCCCCTCCGGTTCTCTGTCAGGTCTCCACCTCCCCACGTTCTCGACGAACTTAGTGAGCAACGCCGCTCTTCAGGATGTATGGGTTGACACCTTTACTCCTGGAGGGCAGCAAATGGTGATCTGTACGTGCTCCCGGACTGGCCGTCACCTTGCTACGTTCACTCGACGGCCTGGGTCTAGTCTGTACACACTGACCACTGCGTCTGTGCAGGTGGCTGAGTCAGGTCAGGTGGCTGCGTCCAGTCAGGTGTCTGCGTCTGGTCAGCTTGCAGCGTCTTGCTCGTATCGGGTACTCTCCCACCAGACTCTCCTCTGGCACCACCGTCTCGGTCACCCCTTGTTGCCTCATCTCTGGAGCATGCACTCCTGTCTCCCTGTCTCTTGCCTTCCCAGGTCCCTGCCCTCCCTCCCGCGTTCGCCTGCACCGCCGTGCCTTCCCTGCGTCGAGGGGCGGCAGCGCGCCGCTCCTCACTCCTCCGAGTTTCCTCCGACCACTGCTCCTCTGCAGACTCTCCACATGGACGTGTGGGGCCCGGCCCCCGTCAGTGGAACAGACCAGGAGCGCTACTTCCTGCTGGTTGTTGACGACTACACACGCTACACCACTGTCTTCCCCTTGCGGCGCAAAGCGGACGCCAGCGGTGTTTTGATCCCCTGGATCCGTGCTACTCGTCGCCAGCTGTGCGAGCGGTTTCAGCGGGACTTGCCAGTCCTTCGTCTGCACTCTAACAGGGGCGGTGAGTTCTCTTCTGGCCTCCTTGAGGAGTTCTGTCGAGACGAGGGCATCCTCCAGTCGTTCACGCTTCCGGCCTCTCCTCATCAAAATGGAATTGCTGAGCATCGCATTGGCTTGATCATGGAGGTTGCTCGTACCTCCATGATCCATGCGGCTACTCCCCATTTTCTGTGGCCGTTTGCGGTCCGATACGCCGCGCATCAGCTCAACCTCTGCCCCGTGTCTCTTTGCCAGAGACTTCGCCCACACTACGTTGGACGGGAGAGGTTGGCGATGCGTCGGCGTTTCGGGTCTGGGGCGCTCTCTGTCTTGTTCGCGATACCACCGCGAGCAAGCTCTCTCCTCGCACTCTCCGCTGCGTCTTCCTGGGCTTCCCCACAGACGCCCCGCCGTGGCAGTTCTACCACCCGCCCTCGCGTCGAGTCTTCTCCTCCTAGGACGTCACCTTTGACGAGTCTGTCTGTTACTACAGGTTACACCCGCACGCGTCCCACCCGGTCCCCCTCGCGCCTCTCTTCCTGGTACCAGTCCCCCCCCCCGATAGACCCACTCCCCTCGCAGGGTCCTGCTCCCTCAGGTGTGTCTCAGGTAGACCCACCCCCCTTGGATGAGCCTGTGGAGATCTCTTCTGACTCCTCTGGCCCAGCTGAGGGGGGTGACCACGCTGCAGACGACACGGCGGCCACTCGCCGCTCTCCACGCTTGGACACTCCCCCTGGTTTTCCGCCTTGGCAGTCTTCGCCGTCTCCGTAGCCTGCTGCTGTGGACTCTGGAGCTGAGACTGCTAGTGCTGAGCCTGGGGGTGCTGAGCCTGAGGTTTCCCGCTCTCCTCGCTTGGAGACCCCCCCTGGTTTTCCGCCGCGGCCGTCTTCGTCGCCTCAGCAGC